TGGCTTCATCAAACTTTCTTCCCACGATCATCATTCCAACTGGCAATCCTTCACTGAAGCCTGCGTTGATTGAAAGAGCTGGATGACCTGTCACGTTGAATGCGGCAGTGTTTTTACTGTTGACATACGCCTTTTGCAAATACCCTGTAAAACAATCAATTAATTCTAATTGATTAATCTGCTCGAATTTCTTCCATGGACGTCCTCATGGATTTTATCCAACTAGAAACTTAATATCCCCTTATACAGAGCGAAAAACAGTGACATGGGAAGCCGCTGGTTAGCGCAGGCTTTCCTTTGAGTAGTCACTGACCTGGATGTATTGAAAACGCTCTAAAGTTTGAGCCACCTTGCACTGCATATTGAACAGATTCAAGTACTGCTCAGTAACTTTCATAAGAATGATATTACTTTAGGACTACCGTTACCAGACTCAAAGAAAAGTTAGAGCCACACTGCATATCATGATAAACAGTACCACAGAAGAGTACTGCTCAACAGCTTTCATATGAATGGTCACACTTTAGGATTTTATCCACAAGCTCAAAAATTAGAACCACCTTGTACAGCATAATAAACAGTACCACAGGAAAGTACTGCTCAGTAGCTTTTATTTAAATGGTCACACTTAAGGATTTCATCCACAGAGTCCAAAGTTATAACCACCTTGTGAAGCACAATAAACAGTACACAAGAAAGTACTGCTCAGTGGCTTTCAATTAAATTTTTATAGATGGATGGTGCGAGAGTTTTTTGATGTGGGACGAGGGGGACGAGGGCTTCAATACTTTCTTCAATTCTGAACAATGTTAACATTGCTTGTCAGTAGGGAGTTTACGACCGCGACGGCCACGAAAACGTCGCTTAAAAAGTGAATTTGCGTTCTTTCAATCTCTATACCGATTACTCCAACTCATTTACATTGCCAAATGTAAGCGAACTCTTTCTGAGCCGAATTCCTAAGAATCATATTCAAGTTCAGAAAGAGAAAGAATATTTAGCCGTCGCTCGTTTAGGTCCTCGATAAAACGTGAAATAGTCATAGTCGTGCAGTGAAGGCAAAGAAATGGGCAAAAAAGCGTGATGCACGTGTAGAGTTGTTGTTTTGCCAATTCCACCTATTGCTTTTTTGACGTTTTCGTTGTCGTCGCTGTCGAAGTATCTTAAATTCTCCACAGTAACAAAATGAAACATCACTCTCGCCCCTAGCCTCCCCTAGGTAGGAACTACCTTCTTCTACCACAATAGCTCCATAACACTTCCTTTTTGTTGTTTTATAAACAAAAAGAGTTCAGAACTTTCGTTTGCTTAAAACTAATTAACAATTGCGCAAGGTACATACTCTTAACATACCTTTCAGAGAAACATTCTGTTGCGGGAAGACTGGTGCCTTAATTGGACTAGTTGGTAAAATCAACACGTCATACTTCTCGAGTGCTTCGTCATAAGCTCTACAAAGAACTCGCCCCAGGTTCTGCGCTTTTCCATAGAAAACGCTGTTGTATTCATCGTGCAAATACTTTGCAATCAGTCTGGACTCTTTGCAGGTTGCTGGCAAGTCATTGGAGTGGCATTTCAAGCCTCGCAAAAAAGCCTCTTGAAGGGTTGTGTCATAGTACATCTTGCCAGATGATCCGAAACCTTTCAGGGAGGGTATGTAATGTAAAAATCAGTACACACATCTCTGCAGTTTCAAAGGTGAATTTAACACATCTACCGTCGTTTCCTTAACAGGTTATAAGGCGGCTAACATGACTGTACTTTTTGCTGTACCGAGTGCACCAAGATTACAATACTATACAGTGCAATGTAAAGCAATTACTAATGCAAAGTAATGCAATGTAATATGATGCAGTACAATCTTTATTGCAAAACGTTTTCAACAAGAGAATGGGTAATGTAATTACAGATCGAGGTAGGCCAAGTTTAAATTGTCTTGTTCCCATTTTTTCATTTTCCCGTTCCCCGTGTCTTTGCCGTTCCCTGTTCCCTCCTCTCCGTTCCCCACTCGCCACTCGCCACTCCCTGTTCCCCGTTTTAAATACCGTAAATCCTCTATTAAGCCCTCCCCCCTCTAATAAGCCTCCCTCTCTATTAAGCCCCCCTTCAATCCCCTAATTATTCTTCACTAATAAATGATAGACTGTAATAATCAATCACGAATGTAAAACTTCGTGTGGGCTAATCCGGGGTGGTTTTGTTCGGATCTGATTCTGATCCTCGGCTGCATGACCTCCAACCTTCTTGTACTTGAGCTTTTCCCGACTTTGTTTTCTAGTTCTTTATGAAGAACTGATACCATCGTCTTTTCTAAATAAAGTCTCTATTAAGCCCCTCTAAAATGGCCTTGAAATAAACAAGCCCCTTGGGTGGCTTAATAGAGGATTTACAGTACATGCAGATGCTTGTCCACCACAAATTTTCCTTCTTAGCTGAATCTCGATTGACCTCTTCTTAACGCCCATAGAAAAACTACTACCAGCCTGTGAGTTTAGATAGCGGGGAATACTTACCACCCCCTTCGAACACCATTCGATGACTTCCAAGCTGATAAATAGCAGTTATAATATGACCAGCTGTGGTATAAAAAATGGATGAGACCGAAGATTATATTACATGATGGCGAAAGAGCTATCCAGTATAAGGTGAACACAGGCTAAGGGCTTGTTTACATGGAGGTGGGGGACCCAAGGTACGTGAGGTAACCCGCTAAGGCGGGGTACCCGCCTGTCCATATAATCTCTCTAAATTTGATCAGGTTTACATGATAGGTAGGGTGACCCTCCACACGTTACCTCACCTATAATAATAATAATAATAATAATAATAATAATAATAATAATAATAATAATAATAATAATAATAATAATAATAATAATAATAATAATAATAATAATAATAAAACCTTGGTCGGTATTCTATCTAGTGGTGGCACCACGAATAATAATCTCTCACCTATGGGATGATAAATATGTCTTTTGCGGATATGAGTAACGGCGTGAATGGGACTGGAGTCTTTGACGAAGGTGCCTCGCCCGGCAGGGTTGCTGGGGGACAGCAGCCAGCACCCGGTCGTTATCCTGCTAGAGAGAGTGGTTCGAGAAAGGGAAGAAGGAAATGGTCAATCGAGGAGAATAGGGTTTTGACGGAATGCTATTTTAAGAGCATCCGGAGAAAAAAGGGTATCGCCAGAGAATGCTTAGGTTGTGGGATGAGAAAGGAATGGTAAAAGTGACTAAACAGAGGCTTGCAGACCAGGGCCCGTACTATCTTGAAAAGTAAATGGTTCACAGCTGTGGAGCTAGAAGAGATCAAGAGGAACAAGCATGGAAACTGTGATGAACAAAATGGGACAGTTCTTGTAGAGGAAGCTAACGATGGTAACGAGCATGAATTACCTGCCGAGAATGTAAAGGAGATGGACCCACAGACGGCGCAAGAAGCCCAGGTACAGAGTGAAGGGTGTGATGAAGCACCTCGGCAATTGTCTGAAGACCAACTGGTAATTTGGAAAAGACTGAATGAAATCAGACTGAGTCAGGACCAAGGCAAAGTACCAGCTTTGAAGAAAATTGTAAAGCGAAGGATAAGAGAGGAACTCCAGGTTGTAGAATTTGTATCATCCAAATGCAGAATGTGTGGTAGCCACGATGAAACTGTGCAGCATATTTTGTGTAGTTGCCCACAGAATATAAAAAGAGGCATGATGTTGTTGGGCGGGTCATTCATTGGGAGGTGTGCGAGGAATATGGAGTTGAGTGCAGTGACAAATGGTATGAGCATTCCCCCAAAAGCGTAGAAGAGAATGAGGAGGTTAAACTGTTGTGGGACTTTACCATCCAAACAGACCGTGAAATCCATCACAGGAGGCCAGACATTGAAATTCAGAAAAAGAAGGCAAAGGAAACAATCATTGTGGACATAGCTGTTCCCGGGGATAGTAATATACTGCAGAAAGAAACTGAAAAGTGTGAAAAGTACCAAGCAAGACCTGGCAAGAGAGATTCAAAGGATCTGGAAATCAAGGACAAAAGTGGTGCCAGTGGTTGTAGGTGCATTGGGTTCAGTGTCAAAGAAGCTGGCAGGCCACTTGGAGCAACTAGGAATTAAGAACCGAACAAGAACGATGCAAAAGTCGGCACTCCTCGGATCGGCACGTATCCTCAGAAAAGTGCTGGAAGTCTGAGGTCTCGGGATGAGACTTGACTGGATATTTCTCCCCAGGGAAAATCCCTGTGCTAAATTTTACATAATAATAATAATAATAATAATAATAATAACGCGAATATTTATACAGGATAACCTATCAGTTCTGATAAAAAGAACTGTTATCAAAAGGGTCCTGTAATTATCTCATAAATAGCTAAAAAATAAAGAAGAAAATCGAAAAAGGAAAATAAAATAAAATAACACTAAGAAATCTAAGATTTAAAAATCAAAATCTGTAAAAATCGACTTACAAGACTGAAAAGAGTTGTGAATTAGGGAATACTATTGAAAAAACTCTTTTAAAGTACTCTTAAAAAGAAACCTAGAATTTAAATTTCTTAAATGCCGAGGTAAAGTATTGTAAACTAGAGCCCCTTGAAACGCAAAACTTCTCCGTCCAAATTCTAATTTGGCTTTGGGAAGTTTTAGTGAACACCCATTGTTTCTAGTGTTAATGTTGTGTTCAATTTTTGTAAAGTATCCTTTAAAAGGGGTCTGGGGTCCCCCACCTCCATGTAAACAGGCCCAAGAATCTTGTTTACAGTGTTGCTCAATTCAGTTTCCACGTTCATGATCCGTCGGAATTTTTCTATTAACAATGGAACTAAAGCGGCTTTTTTCAAAACACATAGAAAGGCTCAAAAAAAATCTTACTCAGCCTTGATTTGCGTTATCTACCCAGTAGCGAGTCACTAAGCTGCACGCCTTAACTTTTAAAGAATTAAACAAGAGCTTATTTTACGTCAACAGACATTTCACGGTGCTTAGTATGACTGCACGAAGAAAAATAGTGTGACGTTTCTCTCAGTTCATTTTTCTCTGCATTGGATCGGGGTTCACTTTGACAATCTTTCAAAAATGATTATCGAAAGTAACTGGATTCTGCTACGTAGCACGTCTGACTGAGTATTGAAGCAAATAGCTTACCATCTGAATGCATAGGGATTGAAACTTCCTCGACGACTGTGCCGCATTTACTGCTCAGCTGTCCAGCGGCTTCCTTCACCATCTTGTCAACATCAGGTTCGGAGATTTCCAAATCAAACCCTTCTTTTAAGATTCCTATCTTCAGGTTTTCTATCTTTCCTGTGAGCTGATACAAATAATGCGAAATTTGATTAAAAGCGGAAAATTGCTTTGCTGAGTTCAATCCTATATGCCTAGTGGGTAATAATGTTTTCACTTTGCAAAGTTAAGACATCAACTTCGTTCCCAGGGCTTTTTTTCCTTGAAAATGGGAAAAAGCCCCACAAGAAAGCGCGCAAGAAATGTGGACAATGGAAAATTGTTGTCTATTATTTCCTTAAACAAGAAGACGCCTGAAGGCAGGGACAAGGGGACACAAAGGGACACATGAGACACAAGTGGACACAGAAGGACACAAGGGGACACTGGGAACAAAAGGGAACACAGGGGACACAAGGGACACACGAGGGCACACAAGTGGACACAGGGGACACAGGTGAACACAAGGGGACACAGGGGACACAAGGGGACACAGGAGAGACAAGGGGACACAGGGGACACAAGGGGACACAGGGGACACGACGGGTGACAGGGGACATGACGGGTGACAGGGGACACAGGGGACACAAGGGGAACCAGGGTAGGCAAGGGAACACAGGGGACATAGGGGACACAAGCTAGGAGACATGGGGGACACAAGGGACACAAGGGGACACAGGATACAGAGGGGACACAAGGGGACAAAGAGGGACACAGGAGACACAAGGGGACACAGGAGAAACAGGGGGACACAGGGCATAGAGGAGACACAGGGGATACAAGGGATACAGGAGACACAAGGGGACACAAGAGACATGAGGGGACACAAGTGGACACAGGGGAAACAAGGGACACAAAGGGACACAGGGGACACAGGGGACACGAGGGGACACAGGGAAAACAGGGGATACAGGGGATGCAAGAGACAAAAGGGGACACAAGGAGTCACAGGGGACACGGGACACAGGGGGACACAGGGGACACAAGGGGTCACAGGGGACATGAGGGAAACAAGGGGACACATGGGATGCAAGGAGACACAGGGGACACAGGGGACATAAGGGACACAAGGCGACACAGGGGACACAAGGGGACGCAAGGGACACAAGGGGACACAGGGGAGACAAGGGAACACAAGGGGACGTAGGGGACACAGAGGACAAAGGGGACACAGGGGACACACGAGATACAAGGGAACACAGGAGACACAAGGGGACACAGGACACAAGAGACAGAAGGGGACACAGGAGATACAGGGGATGCAAGAGACACAAGGGGGCACAAGGAGTCACAGGGGACACGGGACACAGGGGACACAGGGGACGCAAGGGAACACAGGAGACACTGGGGGACACAGTGGACACAAGGGACACAAGGGGTCACAGGGGACACGAGGGACACAGGGGACACTGGGGACACAGGGGACATAAGAGACACAAGGCGACACAAGGGGACACGAGGGGACACAAAGGACAAAGGGGGCACAAGGGGACACAGGAGACACGAGGGGACACAGGGGGACACAGCAGACACAAGAGGACACAGGGGAAACAAGGGAACATAGGGGACACAGAGGACTAAGGGGACGCCAGGGGACACAGGAGACACAAGGGGACACAGGGGGCCCAGGGGGACACAGATGGACACAGCGGACACAAGGGGAAAAGGGGACACAGGGGACAGAAGCGACACAGGGGACACAGGGGACAGTAAGATTGTGGTCTGTTTATGTAATTTTTTAAAAATTGTTTGGGTCAAAAATAAGGACACTATTCTTTTTACTAATTATTTAGGTTGAAAAGAAAATTCGCTTTAGATAAATGACTGAGATCCCGTGAAGCTTTCGGGAAAGCTGCTATGAATTTCAACGAAACCGCAGCTGCCCTAAAACTATTATCTCTTTTACATAGACCATCTTGTTGGAAAGTCGTCGTTTTATATTACCGGCGAAATGTTCAGGACAAATGAGTTTTTTGTGGATTTGATAGCCTGCTAGCTCTAGTTAAGGGCTAAATTTAGCTTTTGCGTTTTTATTTTTAGTACGTGATACGTCATGACTTGTCACGACACTAAAGACAAAGACCTTGGCTAAATTTATAAATTAAAGCACTAAGCACAATCAAGATAACAATATACAGCTTTTTCGAGAAAGGTTGTCGGGAAAAGTGCACGCGACCATCCCGAAAGGTATTTTGGGTTGTTTGGTGTTCACTCAAGTTCTTCAAGGAAATTTGAAAGAGTGGCACGATAGGCCATAGACGTATGTTTGCGAGTGCTAAAGAAAAGCAGCAAAAGTAGATTCGACAGCTACAGTGTCAGGAACAGTGTATTGATCTTATCCCATATTACCTTTCTTCCGACAACCTTTTTCGAAATAGCTGTATACAACATACGCACCAGTGACGTATACTCTGGAACGTGTAGGTCACGTGGCTGTCTTGGATCCAGACCGTCATCATACCCAGCAATAACCTGTTGATATTGTATAGGTTTCTGGGAAACTGCCCACCTACCCCTCCCCTAAGCCATCATTTTGCCCTAAGTAAGAAGTAAGTGTTAGCGTTAGCTTAGGGGAGGGGTAGATGGGCAGTTTCCTAGAAACCTAAATTGATCCTTGATATTTTCCGAGAGGTCGGCAAAAAAGAGGTGACTAGCTCTAGCTAAGTTCGCGGCCGTTACTACATTTCCAAATTGACCAGTGTGAAACGGCTATTATGTTAAGCAAAAATTATCAGGTATGGAGAAAACTTGTCCTCGTAGACTATACTGCCATAATAAACTGCCCTTACTTTGACATTTCTACTTCCGGTGGACATTCTTCGCTTAAAAACGTGGTTGCTTTAACTCCTTAATCAGATGTTCGGTTAAGCAAATGCAGCAAGTAATAACGCATCTCAGTGCGACAAAACTGCACATAAATTTAAAGAAATTCGGTCGGAACACGCAGTACAAACAAACACTTAGGCTATCAGAAATCGCGCAAAAATCACCGTTCTTATGCGTTAACAGAACCCCTATTCGGTATGGTTTTCGGGCCGGCGGAGAAGTTATCCGAATGACGAAGCATGAATGGGCTGCAAGAGGCCGTTAGATGGTGGCTTGTTCGAAATAAATTCCTTACATTGAAAATAAATTCTTTTAACCACATAAACAGACGATTTTAGCTTTAAAATGTTCCATAAAAAAAATAAACTCTTCCAACAGAACTTTAAAGCTTGTTGTCATCTTACTTCTAGCATCAAAGCAATGTCATAGACAGTCCTGGCCAAAGGTCCCGTATGATCCAAAGTCACATCCAATGACATGATGCCCGTAAACGGAACCAATCCGTAGGTCGGTTTCAATCCCACAATTCCGCAAAAGGAGGCCGGGACTCTTATAGAGCAACCTTGATCACTACCAGTCGCCATGTCAACGTATCCTCCAGCCACCTTGAGGACCAACAGAAAGACATTCTAAATAACTAAGAGCAGAAAGGGTAAGGCGACTTCCTTCGCAAATGATCCCCCTGACCGTAAATGATCCCCAAAATTGACCGCAAATGATCTCCATTGTCGACCGCAAATGATCCCGAGAGGAAAATCAGAATGGCTTGGAGTCAAGATACTGGATCAATATGTGAAAAGTATTAAACTGAATAAATTTTGTCTCTCAAATAAATGCAAAAATAAAAAAGAAGAAAGAAAGTACAAGTTTGCTTGATTTTTCTTTTGAAAGGATTTTTGGAGAGAGAGATATTTTCTTCAAATTTGAGGCATTTCGTTTCACAATCTTAGCTCATATCGAGAAAGCAAATTACTTTGGACAGCCTAGCCTAGAAAGTTTCCTAGAAAAGTTATTAGAAGCAGAAGAACGTGTACAGGAACGTGAATTACACATGATGTTTTTAAGAAGAAATTAAATATTATTATCAATTTGAGAAAACTATTATAATTTCAATCTGAGAAAACGATAATATTTGTAACCCCGTAATTTTCTGAAATCTACCCCAAATAAAAATTTGCGGTCTGGGGATCTTTTTGCGTTCGGGAATCATTTTCGGTACTGTACAAAACTTCTATGTACGCTTGAAACAACTAACTTAACATGTATGAACAATCGCCTAACTTGAACCGATCATTAACAATACGGAAAAGTCTGAAGTTAGAAAACGAGGCATTGGTGAGTGGGTTAATTACAATAAGAACAGCGTATCATTTTAAATCATTTTCTGATCTTACCAAAGCAGCTGATCCTGAAGACGAGCCACCCGCCATCCTTGTGCTGTTGTGTGGATTCACCACAGGCCCGGTGGCAGCTGTGAAACTCCCGCCATCACAGCACAAGTTTTCACACACAGCTTTGCCGACTACATGTCCACCAGCATCCAATATCCGGGACACCACAGTGGCGTCGATATCCGGGACAAAGCCCTCCAATATCCGGGAACCATTCATCATGGGTACACCTGCTACACACGTGTTATCCTTAATGGCAACTGTCTTGCCTTGCAGTTTACCAGTTGGTGCTCCTTTGATGTCACAGCGCCAGTACCTGATAAAAAAAACGCACACTGCAGGGTTTTAATATAGCTTAAGAAAACATTTAACATTTTAATTTTGATGGGCTCTGTGTCTGCAAGCAACGAAAAGGTTGTTTGCAGAAAAGTTTGTTTTAAGCGGTTAACAAAATTCCAAGTGAAAAAAAAAAGGTTTGATAGGCCTACAAGACTCTTACCAGGATCGGTTGGTTCTTTTTAACGTGCATATGTATGATGAATTTCATGTGCCGGATGTGCTCATTGTGTTGTTGTACATGTGAAGCTAAGACTGTGTAGACTAAACTCCCAGGGGTACTGATTCAAACAAACGCAATCATAAATTATCGATAGGCGATTTCCCGAACCTATACCCGGCAACTTTATAAGCACATCTATGTTGTGCATCATATTTGCTCGACTTGCTTGCTGTTGCTGCTTATCTCAAAAATTTTGAAAGAACTCGACTACGACCGCGACACTACTCTAGTTGATTGCTTGTTTTCACGTGACGATTTTGATTGTTCTGTCATTCACACATGGGGCAACGGTAAAAGCAAAGCTGTGATTGGAAGAGTCACCATACCGCAAACGTGGCGCGAACACCTTCCAGAAAATGGGAGCTGAATTCTAATTGGCTAATCGCAGGAAAGGAATCTGGTTCGGTTTTCAGCAGCCGTTAGTGGGGAGGAGCGTCGCGTGACGACACTAAAAACGGCTGTGTAGCAGACTAGCCATACCCGGGAGAGTTGGCGTTTACGCCAATGCGGTCACCGTAAGTGCCACCAAAACGGGGCGCCTGGGACACGTGCGACGACATCTCTTTTAACTTTCGGAAGATGACGAATAAATCTGCCCAATCATGTCCAGATACGAACAGTTATACGAAAGTGATCCACATACATGCAATAAAAGTTAATTTGACTGGCATATTTTCAAGAACTAAACCCAGTCTCGTTCCATGGTCGGAGCCGATTTTAAAGTTCCTTGGTGTTTCTGTTAGACGTTTTTCACAGATACGACAACGGACCAAAGTCCAGAAAGAACGAAAAACTATAAGAAGAGAAGAGAGTACAATTTCATGTACTTTGGACGCCATATTTAGTGTGCCAAATAAATCTGGAAACCCCAGGAACGAAAGTGACGTTCTGGCTTTGTTATCAGGATGCAAACAAAGTTTTTGATAGTTTATTCAAGTTTCTAGATGTTGGCCAGGGACTGGCTTTCGTAGTCTCAAAGAGCATGCTTCTCTTATCTTGGAATTGATAGATTGTGAAGAAGGGGCAAATTGAAACCTATGTCTTTAAACAATCTATTGTTAAAAATTTTTTTACAATAGATTGTCCCTCGAACACCACGGGCTACCAGGTTGTTTAAAGAAGACGTCGTACGTATCCGAGCGATAAACACCTCGAACTTCTACATGTGGCTTGCGTAGCTTGTAGTTCAATTGTTCGGGCGTAGCCTGTTCACAGACCCTCTATTTTCTCTTAAAAGGTTCGCCACGCGCGCGCGATAAAATAAAACAGCGGGGAATTAAGAGAGTGTACAGGCTAGTTTGGGCGCGCAAACTGGCTGAGTGAGCGCTCCGATCTTAGGCTTAGCCGTTCTTGTCTTGCCTTTGCTCAAACAAAACTGCCAGCTTCGCAAGATACGAACTTCCGATTTGTAGGTCCTAGACAAGGCACTTTGCTCTACTTTACCTCTCTGGCCGCTGGCGACATACTGTCGGGTAACCTGCGCGCAAGCTCTCTTGAGGCGCTCTTCCCTTCCCCACCCCCGTAACCCCGGGAAGGCAAGGAGAGCTTGCTCACAGGCTAACTGCTGGGGTAAACCTGCAATAAATTATCATCCTTTCCAGGGGGAACTGAGTAACAATACTCTTAAACCAGATATCAGGTTGAGCTATAGTAATTACGGTCGTTTCGCTGCTTAATGAAGTCGTTTCGCTGGATCATAAAGTTGATTCTTTGCAACCAACTTTTTGTATTAAACAGTTTAAAATTATTTAGAATGAACTACAAACGGGTAATGACGAGTTACGTTAGCGAAACGACTTTACGACCTTGCAGCGAATCGACTTCATTATGCAGCGAAACGACCATACTCCAGCTATGGGTCTTAATCACACGGCGACCATGTTGTCCCGAGAGACCGAAAAAGCTTTGTTTTACCTGCCTAGCCTCGCTCCCAAGTTTTTCACAGGGTGGTGAAAGAAAGCTTTTTCAGTGTCTCGAGACAACATGGCCGCCGTGTGATTAAGGCCCACAGCCATGTGTATGTGTGTGTGGAAGGGGGGAAAAGAGGGTCCACACTTCCCACATCCAATACCATGCATTTCTAGCTCCAGCCCTTATCAATCATTTTCAACTAATTTCCCTCTTTTGCTCCCACTTCCCACCCTCTTTAATCACCCAGCTCCTGCTCTTTCCTCTCCCCTACCCCTCCTACCCTCTATTCCCCCAGGGTCCAACCCCCCTGTCCTCCCCCACAAGTGTGTGCATACCTATACCTTACCTATACCCAGGAGGTTGTTTATCTACGATAATAATTTTTGTTGACTAAGCACATAACATTAACTCATTAACTCCCAGTATTAAACTTAATCTCTCACCAAGCATTGTAAGGGTTTTCCTTTGCTGATGGCCTGTAACCTGGCATTCGTGGATACTTGACTGGGAGCTTGGGATCTGGTAACTCATACAACTGCTGGTATGTATCACCCAGAGTCTTGGAAATAGCCTCTGTTAAATACAAAGAATTTCCATGCTTTAATATCAACAATCAAGATTCAGTTTAATAGTAAATTTTCATTGAACACAAAGGACACTATTATGGATATTTAAATTATAGTTTAAGTTTAATTTTCAGCTCAGGTTTAGGGCTTCATTGGAACAAGAAATTCACCTTGGTACTCCATCAGCTCTCTCTCCTCCATGTCTAGTCCCAGGTCATACGCCATTTTAGAGAGATGCTGAAGGCTTGGTACACGAACTGCAGGTTCTTTGTAGGGAGTTTCTGTAGAAAAAGGAAAAAAAATGAGTAACTAGTTACTGTACATCCCCTGTTATAATTTTTTCTGTCCTGAGAATAGCTTATGAAATAATCTAACGGGTCAACACTCTTTTAAGCTCTTCAAATTCCAAGACTTTCCATGACTTTTTCCATGACCTTTTTAAGTTTTCCATGACCTTAGGTTTAGCTGTCACTTTTTACAAATTTTTAAAGCTTTTATGTTTTAGGGTATTTTTGACCTTAAACAGGTCAACAGGACACCATGACCTTTTTTTTGTCCACCTAAATGTGTGCAGTTCATGCTGTTCAACCACTCCTCTCTATCTTACATTGTCCTTGCCTTGTCATCTGCAGTAACTAATCAGCTACAGAATAAAACTTAAATTTCCCCCAACTTTCAAGGACCAACAGTAAATTCTTTCCAGGCATGGAAAATGAAATTCTTAAACGCCATGACTTTCCAGGTTTTCCATGACCCATACGGTTACCCTGAATCTATAAAAATTTCACATATTTGCTTTCATGTAATAACCTAGCCTGTGCCTATGCCCTCCATTTATTTATTTATGTTTCTTGCTGGTTCCTTGTTCCCTCCCTTTTCAAAAAGTAAAGATGTCTCATCGCAGGTTAGTAATGAACATCTAAGGTTAATGAAGCCAGACAGTCGAGTATTAAAACTAGGTATTAGACTATGCTCACAGTAACTGAATAGCTCTTATTTCCACACAAAAATTTTACCAAATACTGTAGGGCTTCTGTTTACATACAAACAGTGATTCAGTCCTTTTAGAAGCTGCATGATTATATACTGCATATATGCAAAAGCACCGTGGCTATAATCTTGGTAAAAATAAATATTTGGCTCGAAATCACATTACTTACAAATTTTCAAGAAAAATCCAATAGACCTCTTTAGCTTGAATGTATGCTTTCTTCATTTAACAAACAGGCAAGGATCCACACCAGTTAATTTCCACCGTTTTATGGAAATTGATCAGATTTCTCATAATGAAAATAAATTTGATTAAAAAATAAACTTTTCCAAGTTGAAATCTGGAAAATGGTTTCAAGAGTCAGTAAATATCCTGTCTGAATGACTCCGAAATGCAGGAGATTAAAGGGACTTTGAGGAGTTACAATCCAAAAAATTTCCTGGGGGAGCATTGAAGCTTGAGCTTTCGGAGCTTGTTTAAGTTATCAGTTAGGGTATTTATTCTAGATCTGCACCTGATAAAGGTCCCAGAGGAATTTGACTCTTTGAATTTTCATAATTTATGCGGGCATATGCACTTACATTTTCTATGTGCAAGTGCATTGAAAGAAACAGTTCTCAAGGTTAGAGTATTATTACATGACATCCATTGAAAAAACCAAAACATACATGCTAAAGTGGTCTTATGCATGTAGAATTTTAATATCCATCAAACAGTAAACAACTGTCTACTAGAGTTAAAATAATGGTGTATGATATTTGCAGACTGCAGACCCCGGACCACAAGCTGTAGTATCACTTGGGGGTGTTAACTGCAGATTTTGGTCTAAATTAGGGTGTTTGGGATGGAAAATCACTCTATTTGCCTATTCAGTTATTGCTTGGGGCTGTGCATAAAGAAACTTACAAAAAAAGTTGTGACGTCTGTTTTAGTATGGTCTCCTTTAGGGGTCAGTTTAAGCTTGTACCAATTTTAATTTTCCAACAAGCATTCCCGTCACTGTTATATGGGAGTCTCCCCAGGTTGGTATGGCTTCTTGTCATCATTAAATAACAATAATCTGAGAAGAGGAAGAAAGACTCCTACTAAAACCTGAAGTTAATGCATATAGTGATATGAGAGTCACTGAAGAAGAGCCACCAGCATCTTGCAAATGAGGCGAACGTGTGCGGTAAATATCAACCTTGTTCCCAGGCTACTTTCCCCCTTTTTGCGAAGCCTGGAAACTAAGTAATTTTTCTGATGACATCACCTTTATGGCTCAGTCAATTCCAAGCGTGAATATCGCCCCCCTCCACCCCCCGGGCATTTGTTAGGCATTTTTATTTTGTTTTGGAAAAGCTGCAAATGCCCCACAGTGGGGCTTAAAAATAGGTTACCAATGCCCCACCTCAGGGCAACAAAGTGCATTTTCCAGTAAATAAGCTACAAATACCATATTTATGGGAAGTTCGTAATAATCTGATCAAATTCGAACGTGAAGCACCCTACGCGAATCGCTCCTAGACACTAGTTATAATAATTATTACAGCAAAAAAGATCACAATCATTGAATCTGATTAATCTCAATGACAGAACTATAAGTGGAATTTTAATAATGCATTTCTTTTTTTCAAAGTTGTTTAATACAGTGAATGATAAACAAACTGCCAATGAGCTTTACATGAGCACTTTCTCATCTGGGAAATGTTTTTATCAGTATATTAATTCTCAAATTGATCTTGCAATACACAAAGTTTTGTATAATTAATACCTTTCAAATATCTTGCAGAGCTTTTCTAGGTCTTTCTGCCTCAACCATTCACGCACAAAGAAAGTTTTTTTTTCCTTTACACTCTTCAAAATGATACATTAATAATTGTTTTTCTTCCATGTGTGAGCTGATCAATGGCAGGAAGCAATTTCTTAGATGAATGCTATGCAAAAAATACTGTGGGGTAGGGAAGTGATGGGGCGAAAACCACACATCTTTTGAAAGCATAGGTATTAAAACTATTCTTTGTACAGACATCTACAGCTATCTAAACAGGCAAATTTTTTAATGAAATATTGAAAAAAGGACGACGTTAACTGCTTCTACAAGAATTGGCAAATGTCCCACCCTTGGGCAAAGGCTTTCTGGGTCTTTCTGACAAATCAAATCACTGACAAATGCCCGGGGGGATTAGTCTGCTACACAGCCGTTTTTAGTGTCGTCACGCAACGGAATTGACTGAGCCATTACTGGGATAATTGCGGTGTTAATTAATTTACAATTTACAATCTGCGGTCTGGGTGCAGTCTGCTTTCATTCTGAAAATGTCACACACCGCCAGTTTCAAACCAAGCTTGAATGAGTATTGTGTGACGTTTCAAGTAGCATCACAAAACGGTTCAGGCACTTTAGCAGGGTTCAAGAAATGAAACTCTAGTTCACGTCGTCCAAAAGCACATGATTTGTACTGTAATATAAATAAGAAAGAGTAACTCGTTTTTTTCGCATGGAGGCCCGAGGAGGTCGTGTTCAATCTAGACGATCACATTTATAAATAGAATGTTCAATGAAAGTGTGCAACATACCGTAAACACTGCGCCCGGCCATACTAAATACAAAATCCCCCAGAACGTACTCTGCAATTCAGATCAGGGTACAGTCGAGCGAAGAGTTCAATACATGTTTTAAAAATTCTCAGGGCCACGGAATGAAGCAGGAGGCAAAACCGCCGTAAAACCGTTCACGTGAAAGCAACAAAACACGCCGTGCAGTCATGGGAAGTTCCTGAGATAACTCGTCCCAAGAACGAGGTTTTGTTGCGTGACTTTCAGGAATGAATTTATGACCTCCTGACTGAATATTCTATTTACTCATGCACGCTGCCTCGTGACAGGTGTCCTTCACTTAAACATACAAGATCGCCAGTTCAAATCTATTCATTGATCTTTTTCTTAAGCTCAAAATCCCAGCTTTGAAGCTGTAGATATGGCTGATGGCAACGAACAAGGTAAGTGAGTTAATCTAGATGAAAATTCGTAAACACTTCTCTTGCTCTTACATTTTCCAATTGAGCCTTTGTGTCTTTTGTCCGGTCTGTACAAGACGATCAAATCGCTTTTGCTTAGCTTTTGTGAAGATAAACTGAATCAGAAATTAACCTGGCAGTTTTTGTAAATAAAATGTGAAACTATGAGCTGAATTCTCTTTGATTTTCTTTTGAATGGAGTCGCGTGCCCATTCTGATGAGATTGTCACCTCCGGGGTGTCACCTACACTGTGTATGGAAGCAAACGTTGTTGTTTAGCTGTTTCTCCCGATAAGTTACGTGTGATCTCTCCTTTGCCTACGCGACATATCATTCGATTCACTTATGATCGAAAATTTCCAGAATCCTGTTACTATATTCGTACTAAAGTTAATTCAGCTGCTTTATCATATGAAGTGCTCAGGCCACTATATATCTCGACTGCCGTCAGGTATGGGCTCTTAAATTTGCAGTGAAAATTAAACGAATGTATTTTCATTCAGTGCCAGAATGTTGCTGTTTTTAGAAGTTCTACTAAAGCGTTTTGGGACCAGAGCCCGGGGGAAGGGGGGGAGGGGTACTTTAGGAACGTTAGTTCAGCTGAATTTTTCGACCCTATACTAGACTAATTTCCCCAACACCCCTCCCCCCTATCCTAGAAGAGCTTTTAGGCTGATTTGCATAAATTTAAACTTGCCGATTTGATTTTTTTATATTACTGAGTGGCAATTCTCGTTTTCCCTAGTCTTGACTAAAATATTCAACAATTGATCAGTTTCTGGAAAATAATACCTTATTCTAGACCCAAAATCTCTGATTTATATTACCCTTCGTAGCGGCACATACCTTTCTAGCCCATATGTGGCAGGGCCCCCTGGGCAAAAAGGTCACAGCGATCAAACTGTACGCTAAAGACCCGGGGGACGGCCGGGGTACCCCATACATTATGGGCTATACGGGTATGTGTCACTATACAGAGGTTTTTTGCCTCTCTGACACTGGAAGCGCAATGGAAGATGAAAAACTTACCCTCAGTTCCCGGGTTCATTTTATTTCAGTTTAACTCTGGAAGAGAGTCAGTTTTTCCCCTTAATTCCTGATCATTCTTTTAGGAGTGAAACTACGCTCCCCTCGTCAAACAAAATGCCTGATAATAATAATTTGTACATATTTTTTTGGCTTATTGTCCAGAATAGGATTCCTATATTTTAGACTAATTGCCGGTCTGAAACAGGTTCAGAGTCTCAAAGACTCCGCGGCACATCCCCAAAGTAAATTTATAGAGGTACCCCCTCCGAGAAATATATCTATACAGTGCCAGTCTCCAAACTTTAACACGAACAGCAGCAGTAGTCCACTGAAAGACCTACCAAAATTAAGAATTTACAACCTATTTAATCCTAGGAAAAGACGTTTTTGCAGCACATCAATGTTGAGTCGGGATTTTTGAGGCGCACATGACTCTCGCAAATTTTCATCTTTTCAAGTGAAAATTATGAAGAACAGCTTTGTTAAAATGTTAGTTAATCCTTGGATCATTTTTATAACCACCGTCCTGCATATTAGGCTTAATTTTTCCTTTCCTTAATTCGATCCACAGAGAAGCTTTACAAAGAGCCTGCTGTTCGAGCACCAACCCTCCAGCATCTGTCTGAAATTGCGCGAGGTCTGGGGTTTGACATGGAAGAGAGTGAGCTGATGGAGTACCGAGGTAAGATTGCTTGTACGAACAGGATCGGTGTATCAAAAACGGCAGCTCAATTCTAACCCCTTAGTCTCACTTTCATGTAGCAACACCAGTGTTACGTGACAGAGAGAGAGGGGGTGGAGTGGCTGGGGAGCCGTTTGGCAAAACCTGACTGGATTAACGGAACCTTTTAATGCTGTCATTAAAAGTGGATGCATAAAATGTCTTATATCTTTCTCGTGTTTAATAGAACTTTGATTGTTGCTAACAAAAGCCTCTTATTACAGAGGCTATTTCCAAGACTCTGGGTGATACATACCAGCGGTTGTACGAGTTACCAGATCCAAAGCTCCCGGTTAAGTATCCACGGACGCCAGGGTACAGACCGTCAGCAGAGGAAAACCCTTACAATGCTTGGTGAGGGACAAATGTCAATCAGAGTTCACTAGAATAATATTCCAAACCGACCGAAGAGTCTGCTGGGTGGAGCTACGTCCCACTATAAATACTGATTATGAAATTTTGAGATTAACTACAAGTCACAAATCTAAAGAAATATAAAGCCTCGAAATAGCACTTAAGTCTATTTGAAAATTACTCTAAAATTTAGGATACATATTTAAAAGTTTCTTCCTTTAATGGACTTAGTGGAGAGGAGCATCCCGTTTGACAAGGCTATATCGTAGAAGAGTGAAATGTAAGAACATTTGGTCTTTCGACATTCTTACTTTATAAGATAAAGTTGGTTATAAACGAGATCGACATAGGCTATTCAGAGAGTATATGACGTCGTGAATTAAACGGTCGTGTCTCGTGCTAGTTCAAGAAGAGGTATAAATCGGTGGAGAAACCAGATTTTCCTTGGCACATGCCAGTCCAATTAACTTTTATTTTAACTGTGTTGTTTATCAGGTACTGGCGCTGCGACATCAAAGGAGCACCAAGCGGTAAACTGCAAGGCAAGACAGTTGCCATTAAGGATAACACGTGTGTAGCAGGTGTACCCATGATGAATGGTTCCCGGATATTGGAAGGCTTTGTCCCGGATATTGACGCCACCGTAGTGTCCCGGATATTGGATGCTGGAGGACGTATACTCGGCAAAGCTGTGTGCGAGAACTTGTGTTGCTCTGGCGCAAGTTTCACTGCTGCTACGGGGCCTGTGGTTAATCCACACGATAAAACGAGGATGGCTGGAGGCTCTTCTTCTGGATGTGCTGCTTTGGTAAGGAGATACCGCAATCACTTTAATTATAACCCCAGGGACCCATTTTTTCCCGCTATTTTAAAGGGGGATCTTAAAAAGAGAGGGGGGCTTACCAAAGAGATCACGGTATATCAAAAAGCCGAGTGAATTTTTTCAAAGATATGGGTTGTCCAACAGGTGGGGTCTGTCTGTAGGTACCGTCATCACAAATGAAACAAAAGAACCAAACCATAGAGTTCTCCCGCGGGCTTTATTATTTGGTTGTATTGTTTCTTTTGTTGTTCATAATCGGTGCCTCGGTACCTACAGAAGAAACCGATATGTGTAAAGTTGCCACGATCCTGGAATTTGACAGAAGTTTAAATCAAATACTCTTCATTAATAGAAAGTGATGACCACACCACTCTTTTAAAATCAGTTCAAACGACGTAACTGGGTCTTTTTGTGGACATTCTAAAGGTGGCCGGAGGACAAGTTGACATGGCACTCGGTGGAGACCAAGGAGGCTCCATAAGGATCCCAGCTGCCACGTGTGGTATTGTGGGATTGAAACCCACCTATGGACTGGTGCCATATACGGGCATCATGCCAATGGAATTTACTTTAGATCATACGGGACCCATGGCCAGGACTGTCTACGACACAGCTTTGATGCTAGAGGTAATTACTTAGAGTTTCGTTTGTCTTAGATCGTTAGACGTTCGGAAAGATGATTCTTGTAGCAAAAGATAAAAGATATCGCTTTTCTTTTAACAATGGACAATCTCGTTCCCAGTTCAGCTAAACAGTCACAACGTACAAACGTAAAACACCTTGAAACAACGCCGGTAGAGGGACCTTGAAAAGAAAGGGCATTAGCTCATTGTTGTGCATGTTTAAGTGACGTTACTTCTGCGTCCTATGCTCCCCAACAAGGTGTTTAATCTGATGTGATTCATGAATGGAGAAAAATCTTGGTTGAGCACATCCTCGGAGACCCAGGGGCAGATAGTGGGGGCAAGGGAAAGTCTAAACGGGTGAAAAATATGGCTCGAAGAAAAGTAAAGAACTCCCCGCCATCCCCCCCCCCCGTTTAGACTTTCCCTTGCCCCTGGGTCTCCGAGGCTGGATTAAACATATTCTACATGTTGCTAGGATGCAGTTTCAAAACCGAGCCTACCATGTATAAAAAAAACAAACAAACAAAAACGAGAAGTTTAAAGACTACTGCAAAGCTGATTCAGAAGAACGTGTATTGTTTTTTTATAACAATATTTTTATCTATATAGCCGTGCGCTTAGTACAGCGGCCTCAGGTATGATCATCACTTTATCAACAAACGGATGCTTGCACTCGAAAAACCAGTTTGACAAGAGAAAACAAGATTGACTAGTCCAGAAGTTCGAGCTGCGGTGACTTCAAAGACGCGGTTCAGGAAGATCCTCCTTAGTCTCCTTCTCGGTCAAGAAAAGGAGGCTCTGCTCGCAGGGTGACTTGATAAGGTTTTTCTTATTCAAATTGTGCATAAGTAGCACCACTAGAGGCTACATCAGACTCTGAGTCTGCACAGGGCTCGGCTTTGCTTTGTTTTGCTAATGCTACGCCTCAGCTAAAAGAATGTCAATCTCTCTAGGCATTGGCGGGATATGATGACGGACTGGACCCGAGACAACCACGAGACCTTAAAGTACCAGAGTACACTGCTCTGG